CTGATTCCTACCTATCTCTACTGTATCATGTCATATATTCTAGTTGCACAGACCTGGTCCCTCTGCTGTGGCTGTCACAAATGCTAATTCTTTTGCTCCTCTTTCCACCTGATTAAGTGTAATTCATGAGTCATGCATCAGTTCAAGCATCACTGCTTCACAAAAGTTATCTCTGATCCCTGTTACACATCATAGAATTTGGCACAGCTATAAGTTTGCCTTTTGTCTGCTTTTATTATTTATGATCATCTTTTCCATTAGACTATGATAGAGGACTAAGATCATGGTTTTTATTTTCTTGTGACTGTATCATTGGAACTTAGCACAGAACTTGATTCAATATGATGTGCCTACTAAAAAAGTATTTGAGGGACAGCAATAAGGAGGGAAGGGAGGAAGAAGAATGGGAAGGAGAAATAAGAAGGAAAAACCGAAGGAAGGAAGGAAGGAATGAAGGAAGGAAGGAAGGAAGGAAGGAAGGAAGGAAGGAAGGAAGGAAGGAAGGAAGAGTAATGAGGCATGGAAGTAGGGGAAAGAAAGAATCCTTAAATCCAAGTTTCTCTGACACCAGAGACTGCTAAATAGTTTCCTATGATGTAAAATGGAAATTTAGTATGATATGAATAGCTCCATTCAAAAGGTCATCAAATATGTATTGAGTATCTGTGATGTGGCAAATACTGTACTAAGGCAAATAGTGGTATGTGCATGTGCATGCATATATAAATGTGTCTGGGTCTATGTGTACACCTTATGAATAATTATAAATAATCACTGGATATTAGAGTTGCAGATTTTTGACAATATTTTGCAATAGAGAAAACAATGATGCTCTAATAAAATATATAGCCTAAATAATTGATGCACTCTATAGAACAAGGAAGTGATTCATGTAGATTTCACATTCTCTTTACTCAATATTTTCTACTATTGCTTCTGGGAAAAAGAGCAGTAATATTTCATCAGTTCTGAGGAAAGGATTTTCAAAGGAGATGTTAAAAATCATTTCCGAACTCTTACTTTATGGTTTTTTTTTTTTTTAGAGATAATACAGATATGGATATGGCTCTCTGGTCTCAGGGCACTGGAAATTGTATTTCTTGGTCATGAAAGTCTCCAAGTTAACATTGGGTCATCTAAAATACTCTTCTTCACCACTTAAAGGAAAAAGTATAAAACATCACACAGAGAATTCATATACAGCTTTTACCTACTTTCTTCCACAATCAAAGGGTATTTATGAAATTAATGGAATTTTTTTGTTGATGTTTTGATTTGGTTTTTCAAGACAAGATTTCTCTGTGAGACATTCCTTGCTGTCCTGGAACTTGCTTTATAGATCAGGTTGGCCTCGAACTCACTGGAATTTGCCTGCTTCTTCCTCCCAAATTCTGAGATTAAAGACATGTGCCAAAGACATCAGATCCCACTGAAGCTACCATTACAGGCAATTGTGTGTGACTTGATGTAGGTGCTGGGAACCAAACTTGCTCTAAACTTCTGACACATCTTTCCAGCCTCTATTGTTAAATGTATTAATTTATTGTACAGGGGTCTAGCTAGACTTTCTCTGCCCCACCAGCCAGCTTCCAATTCACAATGCAGAGACTTATTAATTATGGAAGCTTGGTTGATAGCTTAGGCTTGTTTATAACTAATTCTTATAACTGTAATTAACCCATATCTTTCAATCTATGTTCTTTATGTAGCTTGGTTACCTTTACTTTATAATGCCATTCTGTTTGCTCTATGTCCTTGTGTCTCTTCCCTTCTTCTCAGTGTCCTCTGTACCTAGAAATCCTCCCTAGCCATTGTCCATTCAGGTTTTTATTAAACCACTCAAAGTGACATATCTTTACACAGTGTAATCAAATATCTCACAACACATGGGTGCTTTGCCTACATGTATTCTGTGCACAAAAAAAATGTACCTGGTGCCCACAGAGGGCAGAAAAGGATATCCAATTCCCTGGAACTGGAACTACAGACAGTTGTGAGCTGCCATGTGGGTGCTGGGATTAAACTTGGCCCTCTGGAAGAGCAGCCAGTGCTCTTAATCATCTCTCCAGTCCCTTGACTAAAAAGTTTTGGGAATAGGAATATTTCCAGGAGGTATACCAAATGAAAATAATCTACATTACAGCAGCAGTGACTACTTAGCACCCATCTTGGTTATGACAGAGAGTAGAAACCGAAGAGATGACATTGGTGTTGAGGACAGCACTGGGAAAGAATGAAGGAAAGGACACAAATTGAGACTGTCTCAATTAGGGTTTCTATTGCTGTGAAGAGACACCATGACCACAGCAACTCATAAGGAAAACATTTAATTATGGTGGCTTACTTACAGTTTCAGTAGTTCAATCCATTATCATCATGGTGGGGAGCATGGCAGCATGCAGGCAGACATAATGCTGGTGAAGGAGCTAAGAGTCCTACGTCTTGCAGGCAACAGGAAGTGGACAGAATATTACACTGAACGAAGTGTAAGCAAAAAGGACCTCAAAGCCCTTCCTACAGTAACACACTTCCTCCAGCAAGGGCACACCTCCTAATAGTGCTACATTTTTGGGGAACCATTTTTTCAAACCACTACATTCCACTCCCTGGCCCCAAAAGGCTTGTAGCTATATCATAATGCAAAAATGCATTCAGTCCAACTCCAAAGGTCCCCATAGTCTATCACAGTCTCAACAATGTTTCAAAGTTCAAATTTTCTTCTGAGATTCATGTAATCTTTTAACTATAATCCCCCATAGTCAAGTAAAAGAGCAGATCGCATACTTCCAACATATAATGGCACAAGATATACATTACCATTCCAAAACACAGGGAAGGGAGCACAGTGAGGAAATACTGGACAAAAGCTAAGACTGACACCAGCAAACTGGCAAACTCCAAACTCTGCATCTCCATGTCTGATGTCAAAATGCTCTTCAGATCTTCATCTTTGAAGACTGATTCCACTACCTGTTAGCAGCTTTTCTTGGCAAGTATCTCATAACTCTGGCATCTGGGGTCTCCAGGGGAATCTAGGTTTCAACTTCACAGCTTCATGCAATGGCCTCTCTGGGCCTCCATTCAGGACACCCCTGACACATGTGTGGTCTGAGTGGTCTGAGTTGCTTTCCTTAAGCATGTAGGCAAATTGTGTAACCCTTTTCTTCTATTCTTGACTCTAAAGCCAGAACCATGTTCTGCTGCTTGCTAGGACTAGAACATGATCCCCTCTTTAAATTGCATCTTTACCAGCTTTCTCTTTTTGATTGATATCTTTATTGCCTGTCCTTGAGCTTGCTCTGTAGACCAGGTGACCTAAGCCCACCCCAACTACAACACACTTTCTCTAAGAAGGCCACACCTATTTCAACGTGGACAAACCTTCTAATAGTGCCACTCCCTTTGGGGGCCATCTTCTTTCAAACCACCACACAAAGACCAAGAGGGCTTCTTTCTTGCTTTGACTAAGTTACAAATTTGATCAGGTGTCTCTCATGGCTTGGCCATTCCCAAAGTCCTTGTCTCTGAGACCTGCCCAGTCAAAAAGAAATAACAAAAATCCTTGGCTCTGAGAACCTTATGGCATACAGGCTAGGGTGGTGACACAACAAGGAAAGACCTTGCTGCACCTAGAGCCAGGTGTTTTGGCATGCTTCTGTAATCTCAATGTTCCTACAGTTGGGGTGGAGGAGAGACAGGGGAACAGCAATAAACTCTCAGGCCAGCTAGCTTGGCATACACAGTGGTAAAATAACAAACGTTTCTGTCTCAAATGAGATGGAGGGGAAGACTGAGGCACTTGTGCACTTGAGCTTGCATAAACACAAATAACATGAATGCGCACGTGCATGCATGCACACCCCATGGTATACAGTACTTTGGGCAATATTGTGGCTTCATCTTCCAGCCTTCATTTACAACCAGCACATATGATATGACATTTGTTAAAGTATTACTGATCCATCCAATGAAGGAGCCAGCACTAGAAGAAGGAGAAAATGCTATCCAGCAATGGCTAGAAGATAGCAAGTTCAGCAAACCAGCCAGACATACATGCCATAATTGCTATTACTCATGGTACAGAAATTTCTGGGTGGATTCAGACAGTGATAGATATTGAGGGCAGGCTTCAATGAATCTAATCTCCCCAAACCTTCACCGACTTAGACTTTTCTTTACACAGTTAAAGAGGGTTACTATAAAAAACTGCTACAAAGTCCAAACGAATAGTAGTTTCCTACTCTCATTATCACATTCCACATCCTATCTCTTCCCTGTGTATACTCTCAGGAAGACTGAGAACATTGAAAAAATATGTTTTCATTTGTTTCTAGTGCTATTATTGAATCATAATACTTTCCTTCAAATCTAGAATCAAATATCTGTTCCCTGAAGTTTGTGGTGATATTGTGTTCCCCAAAATATTGTGCATGCTAATAAACTTATCTGGGTCAGAGAACAGAACAGCCACAATATTAAACATAGAGGATAGGCAGTGGTAGTACACACCTTTAATCCTAGCATTCCAGAGGCAGAGATCTACCTGGTTCTCTGTGTGTTCAAGGATACAGGCGAGCATGGAGACTCATGCCTTTCATCCCAGAAAGTGAGCCTTTAATCCCAGGGAGTGATGGCAGAAAGCAGAAAGGTATATAAGGCATGAAGACCAGAAACTAGAAGCTTTTAGCTGGTTAAGCTTTCAGGATTTGGAGCAGAAGTTCAGCAGAGATTCATTCTGGATAAGGACTTAGAGGTTTCCAGTCTGAGGAAACAGGATCAACTGAGGAACTCACGAGGTGAGGTAGCTGTGGCTTGTTCTGCTTCTCTGATCATCCAGCATTCACCCCAATACCTGGCTCTGGGTTTGTTTTTATTAATAAGAACTTTTAAGATTCCTGCTCCAGAAGTTCACTCAGTTTTGTTCTTTTTTGGAAAATATCTATCTTATTTTATGGAGTAGAATCATAGATGCTGACTAATCACATGCCTTCTGTATATAGGTAGGTAGGGGGTGGAAGAGAAGAAGAAGAAGAAGAAGAAGAAGAAGAAGAAGAAGAAGAAGAAGAAGAAGAAGAAGAAGAAGAAGAAGAAGAAGAAGAAGAAGAAGAAGAAAGAGCATTAGAGCATTTTCCATGTCCTGAAATAAGGTTGTGATCCTTGATCACTTGACTAGCTTCTATGTGACACTATGTGTATCACATCCTGACCACTCTAAAACAAGTGACGAATATCAGCCCCATCACTCACTTTTCCTGGTTTATCATATAACATAAGGCAGGACCAAGGAAAGAGCCCTGCTGCAGCAGCAATGTATGATCGAATTACTAAATAGAGCCTTTGTGCTTGAGTCACTGCTGGAAGAAAACTCTACAGAATATCACTCATCAATCAATATCCCCCATCTCTCTCCTTTCTCTTTTTTTTGTTTTTTGTTTTTTATTTTTGTTTTTTAAGAAGGGGTCTCACTCTGTAGACTTGGCTAGCCTGAATCTTGCTATGTAGACTTGGCTCAAATCATCTGCCTATTTCCTTCTCTTCTGGGATTAAAGGCACAGGCTACCACATCTGTAAGCCACCAGTATCTTAATATACTGACATATGCAGGAAAATACATTCTGTCGACAAAGTTGTCGGGCTGTTAACTGCCTAAGTCACTAAATGCTGATCAGTAAGTCCTTTATTCAGTACTCAGCACAGTGTCTAGCATATTAGTAAGGGCTTACTATTCGCTAGGGTATTGTAAGTACAATCTGACAAAAAGAAAACATTTAGCAATATTTCCTTTTAATTATTTTTTGCCCCTATGGCATAGAGTTTTAGTATATAAATGGCTATTTTTATTATTGGATAGTTATTTCACTATCCAAAATGTGGAGAAACTTCTGGAATTTAGGTAGGGTGTTCTGCCTGAACACCAGATGAATTTCTGTTAACTCTAAGTCACATCAGATTCTCTTTCATTGGCCTCTTAAACACTATTAATCACAGCTTTATCTAACCCTGCTTTGATCTCCAGTCTTTGCTTGGCAATTGCTTTTCAATTTGTTCTAGATTCTTATCATAGAGGGAAACAGCAGCCAGAGTAGATCTATCACTTCAAGTAGATCTAACATTTCATAATAGCTTGACCACAGAAAGCCACTAAAGTACTTCAGATGTCACTTGTATTACAGCTTTTGTTGATGGTGTGTCTGAAGGACAGAAGGAAGAGACAGACAGCCACCAAAGCTGGTTACCACAAAATTAATGTTAAAAGGCTCTTCAAATACTATATATATTTTTCATATAACTCCTGGAGGTTCTGTTATTTTTTATGTAAAATGAATGCATGGACCCACCTAAAATCTTGCTCTTTGTAATTTATTTTATGCCCCCACCTCTTTGGACAAAGTGGCACTCTTTGGACACCAACATTCATGTGTGTGTATACACGTGTGTGTGTGTGTGTGTGTGTGTGTGTGTGTGTGTGTGTGTGTGTGTGCCACATGTATGTTGGTGTCCAAAGAAGCCAAAGAATTACAAAGGTAGGATCTTTTTGCACTAATATGAGGGAAAATATACTTCATAATCTTAAATTTTATTCCATAACTTCTAATGCACCACTTACAGATTTCCTTCAATCATAAGAGCTATAGGAAAGATTATCTTAGGTATCTTAGAGTAGTGATTCTCAAAGTTGCTTTCTAGACCAATAGTTACTGTTTCTGAGAACTGGATGAAATGCACAGTCTTGGGTTCAGTTCACTTCATACATCAATCAGAAACTTTGGGGTTTGGTCCCATAAACTATGCTTTATCAGATCCTCCAGATGATTCTGATGCAGGTTCAAATTTGAGGATATCCAACTTTATTAGTATTGTGAAGATGAGGCACTGTGTGTCCTTCAGCATTTTCAGGATATTGGCTCAAAAGCCCCTCCATCTGCGGATATCCCAGCCCTTTATCTAAATGGTAAAGTATCTACATATACCATATGCATATTCTCCAATTACTCTAACTTAAAATACTTAATACAATGACAGAGATTAGAATGTATTTTAGGGGATAACAATGAAGTAAGATGTCTATACATGTTAAGTACTGAATTCATGGATACAGAATCTGAGGGTACAAAGGGATAGCTGTACATAAAGGTGATGATGGTGGTAGTGGTGTCTGCTACTTCTTAAAACCATTACACAGACTCATACTAATCATTTTAGTATAACCAGACCATTTCGTAGCAGCTATAAACAGGATTGTTATTGTTATTACTATCCTAACTATTAGATATAGAAATGGTACAGTGAATACTAGTAATTGGAAACTGAATATGGAATACCTATAAAGATTTCTCAAAGGGGGCTTATGGTAGTTGGAGTGGGAATGTCCTCCATAAGCTCATGTATTTGAATATTTTTCTCCAATTAGTGGCACTGTTCGGAAAGGTTTAGGAGGTGTGATCTTAGGTGAAAGAACTATGTCATTGGTGGCAGACTTTAAGAGCTTAAGTCATTACCCTCCTTGCAGTTTGCATGAAGCAGTTCAAGATGTGATCCCTTGGTTATCTTCTCCTGCCTCTCTATATGCTGCTGCTTCTACCTACCATGCTTTCCCATCACCATGGACTCTAACCCTCTGGACCCATAATTGAAAAATAAACTATTTCTTCTGTAAATTGAGTTGGTCTCGATGATTTACCACAGCAACAGAACATAAACTAATACAGTGGTGGAAAAAATAACTCAGCAGTCAAGAACACTTGCTGCACTTCAGAGCAGCTGAGTTCAATTCCCAGCACCCATGTCAGGCAGCTCACAAGCACCTGTGACTCCAGCTCATTCATCCTCCAGGGACACCTGAACACACTTGTCATAGACTCACACACATAGACACATACACATAAGCTCAAAAAGTTAAACTACACATTAATCAGTATTTCAATGAGTATAATTTTTGAACTATGAATCAGCTATAACCCTTTCCATGTTACATTTCTTATTCTCCAATAAATCGTTTCTAACATTTGCACTTTTTAATTTTTCTGCCCACCAGCCTGTCAAACAGTTTTACTCATCTGTACATAAATGCGTAGGTACACTGCGGAGTTCAGAAACTTGATGTAATTATTTAGTCAAGTGAAGAATACTTTTGAAATGCAAATAATGACCTCTTCCTTGTGAAGTATCTGTTGTTCTTATAGCTGAGCGTTGCTTTAGAGTATTTAACTAACTATGAAAGGTTGAAAAAAAGTATTCTAGAATGGATTAATTTTTCACATCCTGGCACAAAACACTCCCAGAAATTAAATTTCCACATAGATATTAACACTTTATAAGCATTTAACCATTTGGAATAAAAAAGGATCACAAAAATTGTCTAAGGATTTAGTCTATTGTGGCTGAGTGAAGGTTTCCCTTCCAGAAAAAATAGGAGAAGCAAGAAAAATACCCTAACAATTTCAGGGGAAGAAAACAAGGTACTTTTACTCTACCTCTCCCAGGCTTCTACATACCACCAATGCTCTAATGGTCCATGATGATGTGAGATGTTAACTTAAAAGGCTAGATTAGTCATAATCATCATAATTACCCTGTAGAGGAACCTTTCTCTTACAGAAGGTCATACAGCTACAGAGCAAAATGGGTAAGGGCAACACAACTCCTGAGAGGCTCCATTCACAAAGCAGAGGCGAGAATGAATGCAGCATTATTCTTCTGGGTAAGTTCTGAAAAGTGTGACCTCAGTGGAATGGATGTAGATTTACATAATGCTTCATTTCCTTGGAGCAACTCAAAGGTTGGTAACCATTACATGAGTTCAGACAACATCATTGGAAAGATTAATGGGCCAGGGTATCATTATTTCCAAATAGAGGAGAGTCATGCCAAGGTCACCACAAGATTTACCAAGGAAAATATGTTTACTCATTGGAACTGGTGACTTGTCTCTCAGGCTACATAATAAAAGGAAACCAATTGCACATCACTAAATACTAATCTTTCCAGAGAGACCCGTTCATGTTAAGCAATATAACCAGATAGAGCAGGGAACAGATGAGATTTATAATAGACCTGCTGGTTTACATCCATTGGCAAAGACCATGGTGTCAAAACCCTTTGCTAATGAAGAACTATCCCTCCCTCATGTTGTCACAGAAGGAAAACATAAGGAACCGAAGGGAAAACAGACATTTTTTGCTTCAGAGTCCTGACTGCATTGTCTTTTAGTAAAGTAGTATATTGACAAAATAATTGATTGGGCTGCTTAATACAGCATTAAAATAGCCCCCAGGGCCTGCGTGGAAGTGAGATGAAGGACTTAACCCTAACAACATTAAGGAAATAAAAATCAGCACTTATGTCTTTAACAAGGAAGAACCTCACAAAGATGTAAATGGCTTTTCACAGAGAGATCATTTTCTGAGCATTGACTGATCCTATCATGCAGTCATGTCTTGGCTTAGAATCAAAAGACAAGCTCCCAATCAAAGTTATAGCAGGTAAATTTTATGATTTTCCAAAGAGGGTGAAAAGCAAACAGCTGGAAACATACAAAAGTATGTTGTGAAAGAATAAATGTTAATGTTTGGGATGGGGTTCCAATTAATGACACAACTTGCCTGTCCATTACCACCCATCCAAAAACAATTGCTATAGCTTTGGGTTTCTCTAAGCAAATACCCAAATCATAGCTTGCAAACCAAGACTGGCTTGTTAGTGGCCTGGATAAAATAATGAAATATTACAATTAAAAAAAAAGTCACAGGCACTGCACTTCCATGAGTAGAATTCTGTAGGGAGGACTCCAGCCTCTGAAAATTTTCACAAATTTGCATTAGTCTCAAAATAAGGACAAGAAACTAGTACTGCACTTCATGGTATACTTAGGGTACGTTTTCATAAAGAAATCTTCCTGTGCTGGGCATGGTGGTACATGCCTATAATCCCAGCAATTGCTTGGGAGGCTGAGGCAGGAAGAATATGAGATTGAGTCTAGCCTGACCTACCAAATAAAGCCTTCTTTTTCAAAAAGCCCAACAAAATCTGTCTGTTGTTGATTTCTCAGCTCTTAATCTCTAAATTTGGAATAGTAAAAATGTCTTGATAACTCTGTGGCAGAGGTTGACTTGGACTGGTTTCCAGTTTAGAATCTAGGGGGAATCATTAAAATGGGGAAGGGTAGGCAAAAAACTAACTCTTTGACTACTGATATTGTCTGCTATTAAGTTTTAGAATTCATTTCTTTATATCTGATCTGCAATTTCAAAGTAAAGTCTCCTAAGAAACACATATTTACCCTTTTATTTTTAAGAGACAACTAATAGAAACAAAAATAATACGAGAAACTGATATTTGTAGTAGTTCTTTGAGGATAGGATAAATATTGCAGAGTGAAGGGATGACTTGTGTGACTCCTGCAGCAATAAATGGCTGAGTAGCTACA